GTATTCAATTCAATTTTGGTTTTGGTTTTGATTTTGGGGCTTGCATGTGGCGTTGCGGGGTGATATTTAATTTTTCATTTTTATTTTCATGTTTTAATTAATTGAATGCGTTGACTCGGACAAATTTGGGGCCCTTAAATTTTGGGGGCCTGTGCAGTCGCACAGCTCGCACACCCCATGGGCCGCCTCTGCTCAAGAATGATGAGTGACTCAAAATAGGCTTTCCATTGCGGACAAGCACAGGAACTTTTTTGTGGACAGGATTGTACTTGAGGAGCAATGGGCTCTTGTTATTCAGATCTGCTTCCACAAACTCAAAAGGGATGCCTTTTGTTTTCAAGGCCAGTTCCACTCTCTTTGTGTAAAGGCTAAGCCACGATCCATGCAGGGTCACCTTGTTTCCCTCTGCCATCTCTCACACTCTTTTTCAGTTTTGGGTTGGATGTTGGAGTCAAATGTTACTGCAGCTTTTTATAGAGTTCCATTTTTCTTCTTAACTTGTTTGTCAAGTCCTGATGAAGAATTCATCCTTTAAAAAATGCATTGCTGATAAGGGCATTGACCAGCTAATACATCAGTTCCTTCTTCCTCAAGGGAACCTGTAGTCATCGATATCTTAAAATATTTTCATTTTAAGAAGAACCAAAACATTACAGATAAACGGTTTTTCAGAGTTAGCTGTAAGATAACTAGATGCTCCATAAGAATTGTAATGTTGCAAATTGACGAAAATGTCGATGGCCTCTTTGAGGAAAAAAAGAAGATAAAGAACTGCTTTTCTCTGGTCAATGAGCTCATCACCAGTGTTTGGTAATCCAATATTAAGTAAAGAGTAGAGTCGGACGGCTATACTAATTATAAAAAAAGACCACCGTAAAGCCGTGCGGCTATACTGCCTTCACCTCCTCCACATACTTCTTAACCTCACGGTGCTCGAGGGCTTCACGATGGTAGCAATCGTCGGAAAGGAGCTCTCGGTATTGACGACTGTAGTACTTGGTCAAGGGCACCAAAACCTCCTTCCTCAGCCGTTCCCACTCTTGTAGTTGATCTGATTCCGGAGGGAAAAGCCTCCTCCCGATGCTTTCACGCAGCAAAACAGAGCGGGCGCGGTAGCCCTTTGCGGGGTCTTTGTCAGTGCAACACTTTGCAGCCGCGGATACGAAAAGATCAACATCAAGTTGGTCGCAGTAGTCGTCGTGGTCATCATCATCACCGTCAGTTAAATAACCAGACCCACCCTGGCACCTAGACCCGCCTAGCTCCGCCTAGCGCCGCCCAGACCCTCCCAGCGCCGCCTAGACCAGCCCTGCAGTGCATAAGTTTGGAAAATGGCTATGCAGTAGGCTTAAAGAACAAAAGAAAAGAACCAGACCCACCCTGGCACCCAGACCCGCCTAGCGCCGCCTAGCGCCGCCCTCATCACCGTCAGTTAAATAACCAGACCCACCCTGGCACCCAGACCAGCCTAGCGCCGCCTAGACCCGCCTAGCTCCGCCCAGACCCTCCCAGCGCTGCCTAGACCAGCCCTGCAGTGCATAAGTTTGAAAAATGGCTATGCAGTAGGCTTAAAGAACAAAAGAAAAGAACCAGACCCACCTAGCGCCGCCTAGACCCGCCTAGCGCCGCCCAGAACCGCCTAGCACCGCCCAGACCCACCCAGGCCGCCTAAGCCGATTTTTCGTAATGCAGAGTATGGATTGGAAGGAATGGTTTCAACAAGAGGGGATGTGTAAAGTTTTGGAATTGTAGTGATGGAAGGAAGCCAACAAAACAGCGGTTGGTTGGTTGGTGCTCTCTCTCTCTCTCCCCTCTGCTGGGAGGACTGATATCGATTTTCTTGGCTAGAGTTGTTGGAGAAAATGATTCTAGAACTGATTATGGATGCTGGTGTTGAATATTGGCTCAAATATTATTTTGTCTATTATCTTTGTTGTGTTGCATGTCGTCCACTTGGAGAAAGGAAGAGATTGTTTATTTCCTTTCTCATGCATTTGCCGAAAGCAGAGGAAGACATGTAGCACGTGGGCAAGCTATAGGGAAGGGAATGTTGGTTAATGTCAGCCTTTGTCATAAAGGAGGGAACAAAAGCCATGTGAAGCAAGTTGGAAAATGGAAAAAGCAAGTTTGACTAGTTGCATATTGATTGCAAACTAGGGAGTGGCAGCCGTGAGCCTTAGAGAGAGAAAAGAGAAAAGTAGAATAATCTTTTATTATTGCTACTACTTTTGGCTCTTGGGTTCCTTGAGAAGCCAACTAGAGCTATGCTTCATTAGGGACTTCGTTGGCAGCAAAGAGGAGCGGCTGGTTTCCTTTCCAATGCTGGTGGTTGAGTTGTTCCAGTGCATTAATGTCCCTTGTTCTGTGGAGGACTTTGAAGGTACTCATGCAGCTGTTGGACCAAGTTCTTGGTTATATAATGAAGGCTTGGCAGAGAGACAAAGAGTGGGCAGTTTTGGTAAGCACAATAGGTGAGATAGTGTTCTTGTCAGAGGTGCAAGCCGTATGCACCAATATTGTGTCTTTGCTGCTGCACCTTTTGTGTGTGAGTGACTGGGGTGTATTTGGGATTTGGGTTGTGAGAGTTAAACT